GGTGACTAGTCGACTATCAAAATAATCATTTGTGGCAGCCCTAGTCCTCACAGAGAGGATCTCGCTAATATAGTCACACTGCACAGAAGCCCCGCCTACCTTCTGGTTAAACTCGTCTTTAAGATAGACAGCCAATCAGAAGAAAGGTGGAGGAGCAAAACGAACTTGTTTAACCTCCTGGGAGTCCGTAACAGACAAATTTGGAGGCATTAGCTACTCTAGCAGAAAAACTACCTGTCGAGGTGTAGTCATTAAAATCTTCCTGTTTAGGTGGAGATGCCAAAAGTTACTTGACCAAATGAAATGCTGGAAACTAGTTGGTTAGATTTGGTAAGTTAATAACTTTAAAACACTGATCGAGTCACCACAGCAGGTACGCCAACTAGTTTTTTCACTGGATGCCCCAAACAGATGTGTGTCCTCCGGGTGTTGAGGTGGGGATCTTTGGTTAATCCTGCGCTCTGACAGGCTGGAAGCATCGGCGCCCTCTCAGTAACCAATCAGAGCTCAGCTTTAACAGGACACGTCCCTCATAAATGAGCCTCAGTGACAGTATCCACAAATCAAAGTGTTTTGTTGTTGAATGTATCGAACGCTCTCGTGTAGCGGCTGAGCGTCGAAGACGAGCTCACTTGTGATTTTAAATTTCCTTTTCCTCCTTTCATGTCTCGCTGCTCTTGTTTCACGCTCGTCTTCAGGCGCCTCTGATCTGCAAACTCAAAGCCTTCTGGGAATGTTCTCCTCTTCCTCAGCGGGCTTTTTTTTTTTTTAAACCTCATCTTCCTCACTGCTCTGCCTCCAGTTTACTCCTGCTTCAGGATTTCAGGCCCTACCTCTTAATTACTTTGCTTTGCAGAAAGCCATTTCCTCTTCCTCTGCCGTCTTTCCTCTCTTTCTGACCCTCCTCTTCCTCCCGATGTGTCGGGTGTTCCCAGGCGTGGCGGCAGCGGTGCTGGTGGGGAAATGTTGTACAGCAGCTCCACTCCTCGCAGCAGTGGTGGCGGCAGCATGAGGAGTTTGGGGCTTGGAGGGAGCATCAATCGGAGGAGCAACATCAAAGAGAACTCGGTGGAGCTGCACGAGGAAGAGCCTCCCTCACCCGCCCGCACCCCACCTCTGGAGCCCCGTGCCGAGGTCTACACCTGCTCCCCCAACGAGTAGACGACTGGGAGCAGATAAAGAAGTGTTTTAGGAAACAACCAAGCGTAGAGTCACAGGAGGAGCTGGATATTTAATCAATATATGGATTTATGTTTGAAGCAAATAGTTTTGTTTTTAAGTTATTCCAAACACACTGAGGGACAAACTGTGGACGGACCAAATTTATCCCCAACAAAACAAGAAAAAAAAGTCATTTAATAGCCTGAAGCTACAATTTAATGTCCCAGATATTAGAAATATTAGTGCAAGTATTTCATACTTCATCCATACAATTCTACCAACCTGTTAGTCTGATCATTTATTTATTTACTTTTAATTATTTCTGACACTAAAAGTCAGTAAAATGTTATTTTATGAGCAAAAACTCTCCAAAATGTTCCACTTTCACTTCCTCAGTGTGAGAATTTGTTTTACTGAGAGCATTTTAAAGCCTCTGTGCCTACGCTTTTACATTTTATACATAATAATCTGTGAGATTTGAGACCAATTTAATTAATTTATGATTCTTTGTGGATGAATTTCCCTTCTTTTGTTGTTCCATAAATATGCACATATCTCCAATTATTATTTTAAAAACCATTTTATCCCTGCAAATACATGTAAAACACCACAGTAAGGTTCTTAAATTCACCCAAGAACTCTTAAAGCTGATTTTAATGGGTTTGTTTCAGTCTTTAAGATTTTGGGCCCCAAAGCTGCAGCTCCATTAGTCCCTCGAATCCAATGCCGCTCTAGTTTATAGAAATATAGAAATTAATTTAATTGAATTGGTAAAATTTAATTGGCATCTTCTGTCCAAATAACCTCCCACCACATGCTGGAGTTAAAAACAAACAACATGAACTCCACAAATATCTGCAGCTTTGCATCTGAGCCTGTTCATCTGTCCTGACAGCAGCTCCATTAGACGTGCTGGAGAAGAATTATTAATAAATAACTGGTGGAAAACATTTAAATCTTCTCACTGTTCCAGCAGTCTACGCTCATATTTCTAATAATGAGGTGATTATGTACAAGAGTCCCTGTGAGCCCAGAGCTCCGGCTTCAGGCTGCTCTAAACACTTTATCACAGTTTGCTCATCTCAGGCACACAAGCCCCACACACCTGCTGATGGGCAGCCAATCAGAAGAAAGGTGGACAAATGGGAATCGTGCAAAGCTCCTCAGGTGCAGTCTAAGAATCATAACGTGGAGACAAACATGAGCAGATGTGTCTACAGTGCAACACTGCAGCAGTTTTTAGACCAACAAAGAAGCTTTAAGATGAATAAATTAGCTCAATAGTTCTGTTAGGAGCACTCCTAACCAACAGATGGCAGCATCACCCTTTATTAAAGGTCTACTCAGCCAATCAGATGCAGTGAAACTGCACAAACCCAAAAACCAAACCTAGCAGTTTTGGAATATCTTCATTTTCATTTACAGTAAACTGTTCTAAACTGTACAACAGGTGGATAAAAGCACAGTTTTTAAAACCATCCGTGTACCTGTGGGGAGGATCCTGGCTTCACAATGTCAAACTGAATGAAGCGAGGTTCAGACAACAGCTGAAGAGCTGCCAGCTCCAGTCCTGCTGTCACACTTTAACACACAGGAGGGATTTAGGCTGCAGACTTTAGATGAACGTTTCAGCTTTTGTTACACGGACTGCAAGTTTTGTGGAGTGTTATTAAGCTAAAGAACTCCTATATAAGAAGTCGGCCTTGCTCGCCTCGGTTTGTGTAATCAGTGTGATTTTCCTGTAAAAATATTACCTGTAGATCTTTTGTTTTGTCTAAACAACCTTCAGGCTTTGCCAGGATTCGGGAGATCATATGCAACTCTTCAGCGCACAAACTGAGGCGATCCTTTCTGGACTTTCTTTGAGGGTTTCAGGAATATTTAGAGAAAATCTGTATGTATCCAACCGGGTCCACATTAATTCCTGACACACTTGGTTTTAAATCTCACAGATACGAACGCCAAGGCTCAAAGTCCCCCACACTTGGCGACGGGTGAAGCAGGAGTCTGTGCTCTGTAAACCACAGAAATGATATCAAACTGAAACCAAACTCTTACAAATGTTTTCTGTTTCCACTTCCTGTGATAAATAAAAATGAAAAAGGACAATCCTTCTGTGCGTTTCAAGTTTTATTGCTTTTTCAGAAGCAGCGCTGAAGGTAAACAACAACAAAGGCCAGAACAGGTCTTCAGCACTTCATGTGAGCATGCAAGCACTTTTTTTTTTTTTACAGAGTCACATAAGGCAAAAGAAAAACACCAGAGCCTGTTGCTTTACACCCACCCTGAGCAGCTACTTATAACAGGTCCTGCCTCAAGACTTGAGCAACCCAACCTACACATCCTCATCCTACATTTTAGTGACCCTACAGTGAGTAGACAACACTACAACATACTTTTTTAACATAAAACACGAGTAGCCTTCACTGAAGTCATCGAATCTCCTCAGAAACAGAAGATGTTTCAGATTTCACTCCTGGAAAGACAGAAGCAGCCCCGCAGAGGGATCTAACAAACGTCTCCACAGACTCAAAAGTGCCTAAACTACCCGTCTGCCACACAGATCTCACAAATCTCCATCATTACAATCATCTAACATCTACACATTAGCTATAACATCAAACTTTTGGACGGAACAAAGTTTTCTAAGCATAAAAGCTCATCTGAAATATCCTGAGGGTCGCCAGAGGTACTTTTTGTAACTACCGTTTACAATCTTTAACCAGCAGGGGGCAGTGTTTCACCAGATGTGCTTTCCCAGACCTGCTGCACCGTATCCTGGTACAATTTGGGCACAAATTTATAGCAGTTATTTACATTCTGTTGGTAGCTTTGGTTCGTTTTGGAAGGTTAAAAAGTAATTTTATTTTAAATGCAGGAATTTACAATAAGTTATAAAGTTTCACCCTGTTAGAGGCATTAATGTTACCTGTAAATTTCATGTCAATCTGATGATTTAAGTGAAACACTTTAAGTATAAAACTGAACTTTGGTCTGAAGGGAAGTCTCCAGAATCATTAGTAATCATCATCCAGGAACGATGAATATCCACGGCTAATCTTTCCTAATGTTTCCACCACACAGAGGAATAAAACCAGTTTTATTGGGTTCATCTTCACCTGAGCGTTATGGTGCGTTCACAGAACAAAGAATCAAAGTTTATGCAAAGAAGGAGACTAAATTTTGAGCTGGTGACATGAATGGAGGTAAAAATATTTCAGGCGATCAGCTGAGATTCTCCTGACACCGGTCGCTGTTTGAATCTCGAGGCATTACTCAAGTTAACTTGGAGAACGTGGAGAAAAGGAAGACTTCCTGTGAAACTCTGAAAATATGCTACTGAAAAGTTATTCCAGCTGTGGGCTGGACTCTTCCTCGTCTCGTTGGCTGTCACGATTGAATAATTGTGGATTTTCATGTGACGATTCTTCGATTCTTTAGTGTGAACGCACCATCGGAGGTGGACGATGCTCTCGCTCTGATTTTGAAAGAAATCTTTCAGCTGCTTCATCCTGCAGTCGCACTGCGAGTTAAAAACAGCAAAGTGGTGAAGAGCTGGTTTACACTGAGAACAAAGACTACCAGTTACAATCCAGGAGGGCGGAGTCAGACCAGCTCATTATGTCCATCGGTTAGTCTTCGTGAAATAATTGTAGATGGCAGAATTGTGAACGCCACATGTGCGGACGGACAGCCACAAACTTCAACTGTGAGAAACCCTCCTTCCTCCACACTCAGGTTATTGATGACAAACTGAGCTGAACTCCAGAATTAAGACAATAACACTAATAAACCCAAACAAAACCATTTACTGTGTTCTGCCCACCTCAATCTAGGTTTTAGTCTGAGTTTGACAAACTAAAATGAAATTCATGGAGAACTGCCCGAGAACCGGAAGGCAAAGAGTGAACCACAGAACGAGGCCAAAGAGCCACATGGAGCTGCAGGAGCCAACGTCTCACATTCAATTAATCATTATAAACACATTTACACACCTTTGACAGATACATCCCAAAATGGTCACCTGGTGTCACAAGATCCTTCAAAAATAGACTTCCTTATAAAAGGTCAAAGGTCAAAGGTAACAACACTATTCCTTCTGAGCTTTGCTGCCTCAGTCAGCAGTAAAATCTTCAGTCATGTTAGAGCTGGGCGATATAGACAAAAACATTAATACACATTACATCCTGGGCGGTCACATGACCTCTCCCACCCTTCGTTCTGCTGTTGAACATAAACGCTGCTTGTTTGAGGTTCAGTCACTGTGAGTTTAAGTGGAAGCTCTGTTTCAAAGACTTTTCACAGTTGCTCTTTGTGGTAAAACATGAAGCTGCGACGCTCCACCAGACTCCATTCACAAAAACAGGAAGTTTACCTGCCAGAGCAGAAGCTGCTCATCATTAGTTCGTGTTACTGCACGGCGGTGGCTGTTCTGGGTTACTGGCAGAGTTAGTCGTTCAATCGTTTCGGTTGGTTCCTGCAGTGGATTTTTAGTTTCAGTTCAGTTTTTTGTTATTAATATTCTAATAAACGTGGTGGCGTGGAAGTTTGGGAAACACCTCTGGGATATTTCCTGGCTCAAAATGGGCCTTTAGTAGCTGACTTGCCACGCCACCCTTTTAGTTTAGCTTTAGTTACTAGAATAAAGGTGGTTACAGAGGTTTTGCTAGAAAAAGCCATGAATCCCAGCAGCTTCGGGCAGGGTTGTAGCACAGCGGCAGAAACCCTGCAGTCAGTTTGGATCTGAAGTGACGGGTAAATCCGGTAAAAATGTGTTTTTGTTAACAAAGTCTGATTTCCCTCTCAAGTTTTCTGCTACCACAAACATTAAGTTAACATGTACCGTTACATTTCAAGTCATTATTCACACTACACGTAGAAGTGAACCATGTGGATTTTTTGAAAATATATCGACGTATTTACCAAATCGACACGTTGCCCAGCCCTAAGTAATGTTGGGTCAAAGTCTTTGCTCAGTCTGTAAGAATATGTAAACATATCGTCTTTCTAGGCCACCGCGTGTGCTTATCATCTCCTCTGTGTCAAATCAGAGACACTCCTGATGGTGGAAGCTTTTTGACTGTCGGGAGGTTTAAAGGCAGTTTTACCCCCCAGTGTGTGCATAAAGGTGCCCGTCCAGTGCTCAGCCATCAGACGTCTCTCAAGCTCACTTTGTCTTTAATCTGAACAAAACTTTAGAGGGAGAGGAGAAAACAAGAAGATCCAAACAAAAGGAGCTGAGAGGGTTCAGTAGATCAGTTCAAAGCCAAGTGCGAGTGCTGAAAAGAGTCCTGTTAACGAACAAACAAAAACATCCCGACGTGTCTGGAGTAACGTGTCCGCGGAGCTTCGGTAGTCTGTGTCCTGAAGAGGCGACAAGGGCGATACCTGTGTCACGTTCGGGAGACCCGGGGTGGACAGAGACGACGGGCCGAACAGCATTTTTACTTTCACAGCAGCAGCTTGGATCCAGCTCCTAAATCCAACCTCTTAACGAGCCTGGAAATACAACAAGTAAACAGTCACAACCTCTGAACGTCTTTCAGTGTCATCTCTGATCAGACAACAGAGTATTTCCACTTCACAGGACGGACTTTAATAAAGATCAGTAAATCTGTCCTGCAGAACAACCCGGAACCGCAGCATCGTACGTCACAGCAAGAAAATCAGTCGTTCATCTCACTAATGCGCTCGATGCTGACCGGCGAGGAAAGCAACAGTGGAAAGTTTAGATGACCAAACACATGCATCCAAATTTTTAGGCCTCTCTCAGTAATATGAAGGTTCCCCTGATAAGCAGGAGACTCACAGCGAGTCTTACGCCGCCTTTCATGGCTGCACAGACGCTCACCCCTTGTTGTAGAGGCCGTTGGTTGGATGGCTCTCTGAGGAGTTGCTCTGACCCGCTGCTGCCCCCTGTCCACCAGCGTGGGCTCTGCGATTCGCCGCCTGCTCTTGGACATATTCCCGACACGATGCCAGCCTGGACTCCAGACTCTGAACGGAGAAACAACAGAAAGGTTCAAATCTCTGATTTAATGAGCGTCACAAACCACCGGCCATAACGGACCACATGTTCCTGTCATGTGACACCAAGAACCTTCTGGTTTACTTGGGGTATAATTTTTAAGGCTTTTCTTGCTTTGCTCCCATCTTACTATTGTTTATCTAAAAATATGCCAAATTACTGTCTTCACTCTGTACCGGTGATTTAAAAACAGACAGAAAGAAAAGATGACTGTCTGTGTGATGTTTAACGGACTCTGAGAAACTGCCTGCAGCATCACATGACGGTAAGTCAGATGATGAAAAACACGAGCCGAGCTTCTTACCCCGACTTTCCTCAGCAGCTCTCCGACGATGTTCAAAGCAGAGATCCTCGCCGACGTGGTGAGCGGGGTCCCAGACAGGCTTTCACCTGAGAAAGAGACACGCAGCTCACAGTGATAACGAAAACAGACGAGCAGGATGACCGATTTACGCTCGATAAAGCAGTTAGTTAAAGAAAACATTCACAAATAATCAGATTCAATATGATCATCATCTGTAGCCAACTCAAACTTATCAACAATCATTTCATTTATTTATTTATTTATTTCACACTTAGTACAACAATTCAAACAAACCAACCACACTTTCTATCAAAAAGCACTACAACCATGCTCTTATTGTGAAAGTTCACTGTTGACGAGTCAGCTCTGTCCTTTCCTGCCTCGTGTTTCTCTGGTGGAAGGGTGGCCTGTCGACAGAGTCAGACTCCACCAGTGATGTCAGGCTAACCAGAACCTGCAGCAGGGTGAGACCCGACTCATGGACCCACACGGACCTAAACTGAAGCTGCAGAACTGAGACCACTGCTGCAAAACCCACTCCACAGGACCAGGGTAACCCATGCAGGACAGCTGACACATACATATAAAGTAAAATAAAAGCTGAATATTAAAGATCTTTACTGAGCTCGACCTATTTCTCCGTCAGGATCCACAGAAAATAAACACCAAAGGGGATTTTCTATATTAAAAGTGCTGCTGCAGCCTTTGCCCTGGCGCTTTTGTTCAGAAAAGACAAACAAACATGATATTTTCTTGTCTTCCTGGATACTGTTGCCAACTACAAAATGAGCCCCCAGTATTTTCTGTGTAGTTTCCACCACGGGGCAGCTCACCAACCAATCAGGATGGCCGCTGATCCTTTCCCAGCAGCAGTAAACACGGGCAGTTTGGTTGGATTTCGCGGGCAAATCCATAATTAGCAGCAAGAAAAGAACAACATTGTTTTTTATGATGCCAGAAGCTTTTATAGTTGTTTCAGTGTCACTAAAGAGAGTTCAGCTGTAGGGATCTGAAACTTTTTGGAGCTTCTTCTTGAATCAGGCATAAAGCATGTTCTCGCTGTGGCTCAGATATGACTGATTATAGAAGAGCTCAGGTTGTGTTTCAAGCACATTTTGAGAAAGTCACGCTTCATAAACAGAGCTGGATGGTAAAAAGGTTAACACCACCACAGAACTGACCTCTGCTGACGGGGGGCTGCGGGGTGCTGAAGGGCTCTGCGGAGGCGGGGGGTCTGGACGGCGTGGCGGCGGAGGGAAGGGGCTGGTTAGAGGACGAAGACGCGAGTTTGTCTTCTGTTCTTTTGTCTAATGGGGTGAGAGGAGGAGTAGGCAGCCCGGCCGAGGAGGATGACGCTGATGAAGAAGGCTCTTTGGCTGCACTGCTGAAGGACGGTTTCCTCTCCTGTACCTGCTGTTTTTGCTGCACGGCAAGCTCCTGCCTCAGGTCTGTGCAGACACACAAAGAAATGATGAAGACGAGCAAAAACAAACACGAACGAAACTGCCGAAGAAAAAGATGGCGCAGCGCTGCACCTCTGGCTTCGTCCTTCAGTCTCTGCACGGACTCTAACAGGTTCTCCTTCTCGTCCAGCTCGCTCTCGAGGAAGGCGTTCCTCTCTATGACCTGATTCATCCTCTGCTCGAAGTCCTCCAGTGACATGATCGTCGCTCTGAAAGGCACCGAACCAGAAACGTCACAAAACAGACCGTTTACAGGGTAAATCAGCGAGTCTGTCCTATAACAAGAGAGACCAGGAAAGAGGACAGCAAAGCAGACATGGACATAAGCAGACACCAGAGCCGCTGTTGAAACTATGAAACTATGAAAGGTGTTTGTCATGATCTCCTGAACTTCTGGAGTTATAATAAAATCTAAATCCACCTGTTACTCAGAGAAGACTCATTTATGAAGGTAAAATTGTACTAAAAGTGTCTTTAAGTCAAAAAAAAAGGAAACCATTTTATTTGGACTGATCATCGTTTTCTTATTTAATGTTAATGTTTAGTTAATTTGGTTGAAGATGGCGCCTGTGTGTCGCCGTCTATCGCTCTCCTTTATTTGTTTTGTTTTATTGTTTTTTGCTAACTTTGCGCTACATGTTTGTTCTACTTTGTCTTATGATCGCCAGACATCACTGGAAATAAGTTTATCCATCCGGATGTCTGACCGGCCTGGATATGACAACCAAGAAGTCATATCCAGTCATATCTCCTGCGTCGCTTGCAGAAGCAACGCAGGAGACGGGGTCACCGTGGAGGTCGTCTTGTCAAGCTGAAATCCTGGATTTCTCATTTTCCCTATGAGCTCCGCTACATCCGCGACTTTTGGTGCCATTGCGTGCCTTGGACCCGGTGGACTCCTGGTTGGTTCCCGTTGTTGCGTCTCTCGAAAATGGTCCTGCAAAACTCCGTCCTCTACGACATTTGTGCTGGCGTGGAGTTGGCAAAAAAACCTTCGACTGGTGGATCTGGTTGCTAATGGCTTGGACGTTTTGGACCCAGTTCCTCTCAGGCTGGGTCTAATAAATACCAGGTCGGTGGAAAACAAGACCTTCATATTGAAGGAATTCTTTGTATCTTGTGCTCTGGATTTGCTCTTCCTGAAACCTGGATTTCTCCCGCTCAGTTAAGCACCTTCATTAAACTAGTGCCGGCTGAACCTTTTTTAATGTTCCGAGAGCTTCTGGTCGCGGAGGAGGACTTGCTGCTGTTTTTAAGACTCATTTCATTTTTACCAGCTGGTTAGTGCATGTTTTAAAAAAAAGGATTTATTTTACTAATTCATTTATGAATGTTTGGAGTTTTTCCTTATTTTTTTTATATCTATCTATCTATATATATATATATATATCTATATATATATATATATCTATATATAT